CTATATCTTTTGATAGCCGGGCACCATCAGCTTTCTTCACCACATTTGCTTATTCACCTGCTTTGTCTTCAGCGGTTTTGTCGGGAAGGTTAGCATTATAGAACGCCAATTTAACAGAAGAAAGTATTTTTGCTTTGAGGGAGTACTTGAGTGGCAGGCCCAATGTGCCATGGCTGTTCTTACATGGGAAGACTAAATATAAAAAAAAAGATGCTGATGGTGACCAAAATGATAGATAGATTTAATGTAATTTCAATGAAAAAAAAAACAACACACACACAAAAACCCCAACTCAGCCTAAACATATAACTCTGAAATCGATTGGGAGAGGGAGGTTGATTTTTCTTATATTAATAGAAAACATCAATAGCCAGGATTCACAACAGTGTTGTGGCCCATGAGAGCAGAGTCCATGGAATGGAGGTCAATGTCATGGATTATCTTCAGGATTCTAAGCTGTGCAAAGGGTTTTTGAGACTAGAGGATTTAGTCAAGTCAACTAAAATATGGGCACGCATATGATAAGAGGATGTCATAAATAAGGAGGAAATGAAGGTTTTTTTAAAATAAAAGATCATTTAAATATTTAGAGGAAAAAAATCAAGCTAGAATCTCACCTTATTTCAATAAATTCCAGATGTATGAAATTCATTTAAAAAATGAAACCATAAAAGGATAATGAAAATTGTGTTAAGTTTTGAGAGAAAGTTTGCCTATGCATAAAAGCATGGGGGGAGGGGGAGGAAAACAGAGATATCTATAAAATAGGAAACTTCTTTATTTTTAAGAAAGCCACAAACATTTTAGATAGTACATCAAAGATGGAAAAGTTAGTCTAAGTTCCTAATTTAAAATATGAGCTAAAGAATTCTTATTCTTACTCTTATTTTCAGTCCTTACAAACCAATACGGGAATAGGTAATATTTGGCAGCCACAAGTCGAAAATTTTATATTTCTTCCATGAAGTGGCTGGTGGGCTCAAACTCTGGACCTTGTATCCAGCAACACTTAACCCCCTGCACCACTTGGGCTCCTTTCCAATGCAAGGAACTTTCAAAACATTTATGAGAAAATTTCCATTATCATTTAATTTTTTCCCCCCATGAGTTATTGGAAGCCCCTTGAAAAATAGACAATATACATTTCTTGTGTTTAAGCACTGTTTGAATACACTTTACACATTGGTTTGTTTAATGCATACAGTGACTTGGGGATGTAGGTGATGCTATAACCATAATTTAAGAGATGATAAAGCTAGATGGGTTTCATAACTGGCCCCAAATTTCTCCAGTATTGCTCAGGAGTGACTAGGATTTGACACCAAGCTGGTTGAATCCAGAACTGACATTATTCAGCACTGTGCTATTCTGGTTGTCAAAGTTAATGAAAAGGTTACTGAAGGATATATGATATGACCTACTTTGCAAAAATATGTGTGAATGCTTGTATGTGGTTTTAATTATGGAAATTAATTCACTTTTAATTTTTTTCAAATTGCACCTCCATAGAAATGACATCTTACTTTGATGTGTGTATTTTTCCTCAGTCGTGATTCTTCTCTGTGTTGGGTTTGGCGTGCATATTGTTTTCAACTTAAAATTGTCCAGGTTTGGATGATTTTCCACAATAAGCTTGTAACTTATATAATCAAACGCAAAAATAATTTTGCATAAAGGTATATATTTCGAAGTTGACTTTCTCTCTTGAAATGGCTGGGGATCCTACTCAATACCCTCTTTGAAGTATCAGCCAATGGTTGAGTTCTAGTTACCTTGGACTAAGTGCCAAAGTAGGTGGGATCCTGAAGTCAACATAGTTCCTTCCTCTCTGTCAATAGCAGCGTTACAGAATTTTAGGGCCAAGAGAACATTTGACAACAATCATCTCCTTTCTCAGATGTGAGTCCTGAAGCTCGTATAGATTTGTCTGACTGACTCAAGATTAACATCTGTCAACTAAGTTGTTTAACCAGGCTTCAAACTAGGTAGTCCAAATAACTTGTGCTCCACTATGAACCCAAAGGTTGGCTGTTCAAATCCACGCAGCAGTGCCGCAGGAGAAAGGCCTGGCACTCTGCTTCTGTAAAGGTGTCAGCCAAGGAGGGCCTATGGGGCAGTTCTACTCTTGCACACGGGCTCCCCATGAGTTGGAATGGACTCCAACGGCAACAAGTGTTTTTGTTGTCACTAAAGGGCCCCAAACAAGCAACGAACTCATTGCTGTTGCGTCCTTTCTAACTCAAGACAGGGGAGAACTGCCCCTGCGGGTGTCCGAGACTAAAATCTCCACCGCAGTAGAAAGCCTCATCTTTCTCCTGCAGAGCAGCTGGTAATGTCGAACTGCTGACCTCGGCTCAGCAGCTATAATAATCCCAAGCGATAGAAGGAATTCTACAAAAAAGGGAAACGAAGACAGTGGTGGGTTTATCTAACACAGAACACCGTTCTCTTTTCAGCTCCTGGGCCCACGACAGCAGTGTCCTACATGTCAGTAAAATGTGTGGACACCCACAAAAACCACCACAAGACAAAATGGATGATGCCTTGGGGACCCAACCAGTGTGACAAGATCCGAGACTTCAATGAAGCAATTCTGAAGGAAATCCAAGCCAATGACATTGTGTTTTCTGTCCACATCCCCCTCCCCTCCATGGAGATGAGCCCCTGGTTCCAGTTCATGCTGTTTATCCTGCAGCTGGACATTGCCTTCAAGCTGAACAACCAAATCCGTAAGTGCGCACTCCCTCGCTCCACTTGCTTTGGGGACTTTCCCCCTTGGGTTTTTCTCAGCGCGAGTTCTGACAGCAGCAAAAGCAATTAAAGCAAGAGTTGACCGTAGCTAATTGCGTCCGACTCACTGGGCACTTTTCTGAGCACGATACGTGTACTAGCCCACCAAGAAGCCTAACAATTTCTGGTGGGGAGGGAGAAAGAGGAGGCTTCTTCATTATTTCATTTTCTAGGTAAAAATGTGAGCACTAGTGAGGTTGCCCACAATCAGACGACTAGAGGAAGGCAGAATTTGCAATCAAAAGTCAGCGCCTGGCTTCAGAGCCCTGACCGAACCATCAAGCCATTTTTACCTCTCTAGTGAGAGCGTGGGTAAACGCTTTGAGCAAAAATGTCTACATTTTGCAGATGTTTTTCCCATTAAAATCATGCAACCATTTAATACAAATAGCTTGTTTCACTGTTACATGCTTCGAATTTGTTTTCTCAAGGAGCTCCGCCTGAATGGAGTAATGGGAGGACACCGGAAAGGTCAACTTCCTTCAAAGTGTCTCTTTCCTACTGGGCTTTGAGCAAAGCCATCACCTTGGAAAAAGATCCCTTCAAAATGGGAATGCAGGCTACTGCCCTTCCTGGGCACGCAGGGCTACTCCGGGTGGACTGGCAGCCCCTCCTCACATGGACTGGGTGTGGCCTCGGGAGAGGGGGCTCGGAATAGAGATGTGTCTGGACACACACACTCAGGTGCATAAGCAATGTGGTGAATAGGGTGGGTACGGGCCCTTCACCCCACTACATCGTGAAAGGTAGTATCTCTTCCAAAAGCCAGGGAGAGTCCGCCCCACAGCATCCCTTTGGGATACGATGGGATTAAGGAATGGAGATCACTGTGACCAAAACCTAGAGAGGAGAGATTGGAAACGGAAATCACAGGCAGAACTAAACTCCTGCTGGAGTCCTTTTGGAAAATGTCCACGGGGGTCCCCAACCCCAACAGAGCCATTGGCTACTGTGGGTCTGGCTCTTCCCTATCGGTCACCTTATTCTTCATGGAGCTGGCTGGGCAGTCCACCAAACTTAAGGCAGCTGAGCCCAGAGAGTGGGTTGTGGTGAATAAACTCAGATTTATGGCCTTACTGTTTAGCAGTTTCTCAGGATGGGTCAGTTGAGCCAACCTCACCCTTGTTCCCTGGCCAGGCCCAGATGTGTGGACAGCCTGCTAGCTAGAGTACTGGACCAGAGTTCCAACAAAGAGCCTCATTGCCATTTCCTGTGTCTGGAGAAGGTGAGAGAAGGTGTGATAAATGAGACATAGTAGTTAGGTCTTCCGATCAGAGATGGGTGACTTATCCCTGTGCCTTTAATAGGTTGGCCTACATGGTCCTTTTCCACATGGTCTACGTGGCCTACATGGTCCTTGGAATTTTGGAAGGCCTTACTTGTATGTGGGCATATGTTGTTAGTAGCAAGAAATTGGAAACCACCTAACTGTCCATTCATAGAAGCTATTATTACAGATTATTCATCATCTTAGAAAAACAAAACCAAAAAAGAGAAGCCGTTTTAAGCATGTATTCTTCTATTCCAGTGTGTTGTTCTAGTGTACCCGGTTGCAGTTCAGGACTCTGAGGGAGGGAGTCATACAAACATACCATGGGCGTGGAGAGAACTTTCTGGGGAACAGCTCTATGTGTCTCGCTGCCACCAAGTGGATGCCGACTCAAATCAAGCCTATAGGACGGGGTAGAACTGCCCCGTGAGACTGTAACTGCATACAGGGGTAGAACTGCCAATCGCAGCCCAGTGCACAGCCACTTCACCACCAGGGCTCCGATCCTGGTGTGGCCTCTGGAAATACTCCAGCGAACCTTAGGGAGAAAACCTTATTGACTGAAATGGGATCAAGGATGAGGGGGATAAAGGGAGCAACAACAACAACAAAATCATGGGTGAAGACGCCTTCCCAGGGCCTATCCATGGATTCAAGTACTCTGAGACAATTTGTTTTCTTATATCTGCAATAGTCTTCTTCGTGAAGAATGTAATGTAACTGCTGGTGAATTAGAGAAGTGTGCTTGATTGACAAAGAGATTGCGATGAGAAAATGTCATGGGATGCGACGTTTTCATTTTTCTATTCATTCCACCTTTTTTTTTTTCATTTTTTCATTTTTCATTTGGTGATTTTACACTGGTTTTGAGGGTCTGCTACTGCCGGGCACTACGGGTGGGTGTGAACGCCGATGAAGGCCATGGTCTTCCAGGTTCTTGTAATCAAGTGGAGACAGTAGATAAGCAAACCACTCATAACGCCGTGTGTGAGTTCCTATGACCACGGTGTGCCCGGGGGGCAGTGAAACATCAAGACAGGCAGGAGAGCAGGGAAAAGAAAGACATCGTAGGCACGCTGTTGTGTGAGAGAGACCGCGTGCACAAGACTGTGTTCATGCATCTCGACTGGAGCAAAGATTTCTGAGGTGAGTGGTAAAGAAAAGCCAAGCAAGAAGTGGAGGAAAGTGGCAGAGCATTCTAAGTCGAAGAAATGGCTGATATGAAAGGCCAGCTTGTACAATAGCCTGGCACGTTCAAGTTCTCATTTCCAGTCCCCTGAGGGACTCTCTGCTCTCTTCCCATTGCCTGACTCACTCATTTCTTTATTCAGACGTTGCTCACCAAGAACTGTACATTAATAAGAACTAGCCGCTGAAGGTGCAAGATTGAACAAGACATGGTTCCCGGAAGGCAGGGGTGGGGAGCCTTTTCATTGCCCGGGGCCCTTGGGATACTTCTAACATCTTTCATGGGCCATACAAAATGATCAACTTAAACATTAGCTTGCTAGTTTTGGTTCAACATTTAATTAATTCACCCCTAATGTGATGGCTGGAACGGCTTCTCTCTAGTGAGGTCTGTGACGCTGGCTGGCCTCGATGGTTCTGGGGCCCTATGACGCCCGAGGGCCAAACGATCCCCACCTGTGATATAAAGGCTGTGATATGTGCTCCAACAGTATTGTGCCATGTAATCATGTAATGCATGAGCTTCAGGACGGGAAGGGTCTTCTATGAGTTTTAAAACGAGGTGGCTGGAACTGTCTTAAGCACCTTGAGGTGTGCATTGTTGCTGCCGTCCTCGTCCTCCGAAGGATTTCAGAGCAGAACAAAGCCAGGGAGAGAAGTCCTGGCACGATGAGATAGATTGGTTGACTGACTTAAGCTTGGGGGCTGAGGCCCTGGACACAGCATTCTGTTACCTGGGCTGGTTGTGGGTCGTGTAGTCTAGGTATAATCTCTCTTAGACAGACTCTTCTCCGAGTGCCAAGCATAAAAGAAAACAAGAACTCCATAATAAGAAATTAAATAATTGAGGCTTACTGGACGAATTAGTGCCGTGCAACAAATCACCCCCCAAATTTAGCAGATTAAGCAGCAAGCACTTAACTCTCTCTCTATTTCTGAGCATCAGGAATCTGGGCATAGCTGAGCTTGGAAGTGTCTGGTTCAATCAAGCTGTTCGCCTTATGTAAAGTCTCATCAGCAGGCTTGAAGGCTTGCTAAGGGGACAGAATTCCCACCCAGCATCACTCCTGTGGTTGTTGGCAGGCTCAGTCTCTCACTGCATGGGCTGCCCCACAATGTGGCAGCTGGCTTGCCCCATGGTGAATGATCCAAGAAAGAACTAGAGACAATAGGAGTGCCTATAGCAGAAGCCACAGTGTCTTGGGGGTGACAGCTCATCACTGCTGGAACCTTTTATTTATCACAAGTTAGCTAGTCAGTCCAGTCCACACTCCCACTCGAGCAGGGGGCTATCCAAGGGTGTGCATGCCGGGGAGGGGGTCATTGGAGACCATCTTCAAGGCTGCCTCCTCTGCTGGCATACTCTTCAGAGGATGGACCCAGGCTTTCATTTGAATCTGTTCACCGATTTGTTGTTATCCAGAGAAGGAGGCCAGATAGTAGAATCTGTCAAAGCATAGACTTGAGAAGTAAACAGAGGTGGGTTTAAAACCCTGTAGTTCTTAGAAGCTCTGCAAATTTCAGTATGAGCCTCCGTTTCCTCATAGGTAAAATATGAGTAATAATGTCCAATTCACCACCTCCCTCTGAGGAATGAATTCGTTTCTGTCAAGCTCTTCGGACATAGTGAATACTGAGTAAAGAGTAGTTCTTATAATTTTCTATTTAGCCTGACTTTTGAGATTCAGGCTTCTTTTCGATCCTTATTTATGTGCCTTGGATAGAGTTCATCCAAGTTAATGGGATTAGTCGTCATGAAAACCACAGCTCTAATCTTATCCTCCCCCCCTGCTCCAAACACTTTCAGTGACTAACACACAATGCTTGGCATTCCAGGTCTTCCTTCTGGCCCAAGGCTGCTTCGAGCCTCACGTCTCACTGCTAATCTTCACACATTCCCGCATCCTCACACAGAAATAATTACCCACTGCTTAAACATGCTCAGAGATTGTCGCTTTCTGCCTGCCCCTTTGCTCTTTCTGATCTTCCCTTCCCACCCCCTTTGCACAAACAAACAGATCCTTGTTCAAAACCCACCCACCCTTATTTTCCCAGTGACACAAAGCTTAACTGAATAGAGACACACTAAAAATCTAGCAAGATGCATGTCTGACGGCCCCCTCAGTAAATGACCGAAATACCTGAAACCATGGGACCAGCAAGAAAACCAACAGAAAATACTCCTGATGAGCAGGAACAGTAGATGGGAGGAAAATGTGGGGCTTCTGGCTTTAGTCTGACAAATTCTCATGTTGGATGTGTGGGAAAGGTTTTATTTGCTCTAAACTTTATTCTCTGTAAACCTGTTGTGGGCACTGAGCCAGGCTTCCATTAAGGAGTGATGTGGTATGGCTTTGCTGTTTGCTACCACTCAGAAAACCAATCACCGCCATCGAGTCGATTCCGATTCCTGGCAACCCTGCAGGACCGGGCAGAAATGCTCCTGTGGGTTTCTGAGGCTGTCGCTCTTTACAGGCGTAG